GGGAGGGGGCGGGGGGGCGGGGCGGGATGCCAGCGCCCGCCCAGGGGTGTGGTGAGGATTCAGTGAGGGACAGCAGCGTCTGGCAGGAGCTGCCTGGGCCACGGAGGGGGCACACAGTGGAGGGGTCCCCGGGTTTGAGGCTGGAGCAGGAGGGCTTCAGAGCCAGACCAGGTGGTCGGCCACCATCCTGTGGGTGTCACCCTCGGGAACCCACCTGGGCCACAGGCACCCTTCCTCCCATTTGCAACGTAGGGAGCTCGCCCTCTGGGCCTTGGCTTGTGCTGCGGTCCCCGCCAGAAGCCTGGCTCCATGCTGAGCTCCTCACGACCTGGCACCACCCCCTCTCCGCAGAGCGAATCCTTCCTTGGAGAAGGAAGGCCATGGGGAGCCCCAGAGGGTTCAGGAGGGCGCCGGAGCCCGGCGGGAGGAAGGCGGGGTGCGCGAACAGCGCCCCCGCCCTTGCGTTTCCCTTTCCTCCGCGGCGTTTCCTCTCCCGGCTCGGCCCTCCGCCGCCCCTTTGTTTGCCCCTGCGCGCGGGCCGGGTCGTGGTTATATTTAGGCGGCAGGTGTGGGAGCCACTACAAGCCGGGGTCGCTCGCCGGTCACCGGCCACGCCGCCCACGTGATGCCCGGGCGCTATAAATAGCCCCCCCGGCAGCCTGGCCGCGGAGCATCCGTGGGGAGGCCGGCGCGCCCCGCGCACTGGGTCTCAGCCACCGCGTCCCGGCCGCGAATGGAGGCGGTGGAGGCCCCCCGCCCTGCTGCTTGAACACCGCGGGACAGGATGCCCGGGCCCACGGCGCCACCGCAGCCCACTGGGCCCAGCCCCGCCCACGGTGCTCCCATGCCCCCCCACACACACCCCGCTTAGCTCTCCTGGGACCCCACTGGGCCGTGGTCCTCCAGCCTCCCCCCAATATCATACAGGGTCCGGGGTGCAGAGAGGCTGGCGCTCTCTGAAGCCCTCTGCAAACTCCAGCTTCTCAACCAGCTGTGCCACCGGGAACGAGCCTCCTGGACTTGAGATTGAGAACGCCCACGGGGAGCACTTCCCGGGGCCTGGCTTGGTCAGGGCCCAGAGAAGGCCCTACAGCTCTCCCTGGCTGGTTTATTCATCTGCAAACAGGGGCCAGGATGGGGCCTCCCCTAACGGGTCTGGAAAGTACGACTGTTCTGGACATAGCAGAGGGCTCAGAGCCGGCCCGGGTGGAGGCCACTGGGGTCCCAGCCCAGCAGTGACGTGGGGCCGGTGGTAGGAAGGCCAGAGAGAGGGGCCTTGGGCTCCCAGAAGGGCCCCCGCATCATGGGGGGTGGTGGCCAGGAGCAGTGGCTGGTGGACTTGGGTCAGCCCTGCCTGGGGGCCTGCTCAGTGACCTCACCGAGGGGGTGTGGTTAGGAGGGAGAGCCCCTCCCTGGGGGGAGGCCACAGGCCTGGCTGCCTGGGGCAGGAAACGGGGCTTTCACTGCTTTGCTCTCACCTGGGGGTGTGGGCCCTAGACATGGAGGAGACAAGTGGGGTGTGTGGCTAGACCCCGACCCGGCCTGGGCAGTGATCTTGGTTCAACCTCGGCCCAGACCCTGACCCCATTCTAGCTAGGGCCGGGCCCCCTGACCCCTGCCAACAGGTGACCCTTGAGGCTTACGTGGGCAGCAGTGTGGTGTGGCTCTGGGCCCTCAGCTCTGAGGGCCGTCCAGGGACACTGGCAGAAGAGCCAGGCCATGTGCCCTTGCACCCGGGGTCTCCCCAGGTGTCCAGCAGCTATGCGCGCTGAGGTAGCGTCAGGCCCTTGGAGAGGCCTGTAGTCCTGTGGCTTCCTGGTAAACACACACGCACACAGGAACAGCCTGCAGCCCCAGGAGGGGCAGGTGTTTGTGTGCTGCTCAGGGCGCCCGTGGCTGGCTCCTTCCTTGCCTGCACTGGGAGCGAAGCTCGCTCTGGGAGGGTGCGGGATCCCTTCTCCCTGTCTTTTGCCCCCTCCCCGGGGACGCCCGCGTAACCCTCCTAGACAAGGCACGGAGCAGAGTGTGAGCCTGGGAGCGGCGCTGGAGGCCCTCCACCGTGTCCGGGTCCCAGCTGCGGGCCCTGTCTGCACCCAGGTTGAGGCTCCAGGGGCCCAGCCGGCCTGGTGGGCAGCTGGGGAACGGGGTGCTGGGCGGGGCAGAGGTAAGAGTTGTCTGCCGCGGGGGATGGAGGACCTGCCGGGTGAGCAGGTGGGATTGGGCCAAGCCCCGTGGCCAGGGGCGTCTGCTGACCACTGGGTTGTGCCGGAGGGACCTTGGCAGCATCTCGTTTGGCCCCTCACTGTGCAGATGGGGAAACTGAGGCCGGTGATGTGCCCAAGTCCTCCCAGCCCGTCTGTGCAGGTGGGAGTGAGGCTGGCTGGGTGCTCCTGCTGGGGCCCCTGGCCCTGGCCCTTTGGGGCCTAGAGAGTGAGAGACAGGGATGAGGTGCTTGATAGCTGTCTATGTGGCCCAGCAGCATCCCTCCTTGAGGCCCTGTCACAGCGGGACCCCACTCCTGGCCACTTGCACTCTTACCATCTTGGCAAGCACCTGGTGGCCGGTCCTGGCCCTTTGGCCCCTGTGGTCTGTCCCCGCTTCTCCTAGCTGCTGGAGGGCAGAGCCGCTTGTTTACCTCCGGTGTGTGGCCAGCCCTGTGGGCGAGTGGTGGACGGTGGCCCAGGGCAGAGGCTGACCAAAGCTGGAGGTTTCCCTGGGGAGCCCTTGAGAGATGCGTAAGGTGGTGCATGGCTGTGAGTGAGGCTGCCACACTCTCACCCGACTGTGCTCTGGCGCCTTGGCCTCTGCACCTGAGCCCCTTTCCTGGAGGACCGACTGGCCCGAGCAGTGTGGGCTTGGAAATGCCACAGAGGCCGGCGTTCTGCAGAGGAGGGGGTGACTGTCCCGGGGCGGGGGTGGACATCCTGGGGTGCCCAGGCTCAGGGGATGGGGGCTGGGCCTCTGTTACCACAGACTGCCCTGAAATCCATGTGTCAGGATTCAGCACGCTCCCGGGGGAGGGGTGTGTCCCTCCCTCCATCCCTCTCTGCCCTGTCCTGGTGGCTGTCCTGTCACCTCAGGGCCCTGGGTCAGCCCTAGCAGGAGCCATCCTTCCTTGTGCTCCCAGATGGGGAAACCAAGGCCCAGGGAGGGTGGCTCGCTCAGCGCGGCCTTGTAGCAGGGCCCAGGAGAAGCACTGGCCGGGACCCCTCCTGGGAGGTGGGGCGCCCGGGGACCCCTTCCCTTTTCATTTCTTTTTCTCCCCTCCTCCCCAGACACTGCCTGCCGCTGACCAGCCCGGGATTTATGGAGAGGGCCTCAGAGGGCCACTCTGAGTGCCGCTGCGGCCAGCATCGCCGCCGTGCCTGCTGCTGAGACCCCGCGCCTCCGGCCCTCACCATTGCCCTCGCCCGCCCATGGCCCCCGCCACCCGGCCCGGGGCCGGCTCTGCCGCCTGAGCCCCCTGCCCCCTTCCACGACTTGCCGTACCCCGATGGGGTAACGTGACGGAGGCCCCGTGTCACAGCCGCCTGCTCCCACCCCAAGGCCGCCCCGTTGGTTCAGTTTGAGTTCATTCTTCCTTTGGTCCTTGGGGGTTTGGGGCCTTTGAGTGAAGGCGGCCGTCGACCTGTCCACGGATGCAGACGGGGCGTCCCCAGCGACAGGACAGCGCTGTCCACGGCCGCAGCGGCCGGACTCACTTTGGGCTTTTTAAAGATTTCTTTGCTGACTGTGTTTGGTTGTCGTTATTTTTGCTTTTGCCCCCTTGTAATTATCCAGCTCCAAGAGGCAGGTGCTTGGACTGGTCCATTTTACTTCCGGGGGGCTCTTTCGTTCCTTTCATTTTTTAAAGAGTTGGGTTTTCTTTTTAAATTATCCACCCGTTAATCTGGGCAGCATCCTCCCCCCTCCCAAGTATTTGCACAATATTTGTGCGCGGTGTTGGGGGCCAGGTTTTTAAAGAAGCATTTTCTCTTGGACAAGCACAGGGATCTCGTTCTCCTTGGGTTCTGGGGGGCTGCTGGGGCCTTCTCCCACCCGCGTGCCCAGCCCCGCCTGCAGCCCTGTCCCAGGCGCCGCCCCGCCTCCGGGGTGCCGCCATGGCGCGGATGAACCGGCCGGCCCCCGTGGAGGTCAGCTACAAGCACATGCGTTTCCTCATCACGCACAACCCCACCAGCGCCACCCTCGGCAGCTTCATCGCGGTGAGTGTGCAGCACGCCCGGCCGCGCGGCCGGGGGCCTCCCGAGGGCCGTGGAGTGAGATGCAAAGCTGTCGGTCCAGGGGCTGCGCTCGGGAGCAGAGCTGCCAGCCTGGTTACAGGGTCCCTGGGGGGCACCCGAGGGTGTCCTTCCCGCAGAGCTGGTGTGAGGACTGCAGGGGTATCCGCTGGGCCCGCTGGGGCCTGCAGAGTGGGCAGCAGGAGTCCACGCTGCACGAACAGAGGCAGGTTCCGAGGAAGGAGGAGAAACGGGCCTCGCCTCGTTGGGACGTCACCTGTGGCCGGCGCAGTCCCGAGCCTTTGCTGGCCGTTTGGCCTCTGTGCGGAGGCTGAGCGAAGGAGGAGGGAGGGTTCCCCATGTGAGGACTGGCTGCTTAAACATCCTGGACACAGGTGGTCTTCAGGGCACGAAGGCCAGCTGCATGGCCCGCCCAGGCCGCAGGAAGCCCACCGGCGGTGGGGGAGTCCTTGGGTTGGAACAGGCCGGCTGGGGGCTTCAGGCCACAGATATCTGTGTGAGGAGGGGCTGGGTGGGAGTCCGAGGCGGCCACGGGAGAGAGTGACTGCCGGATCCTGGGAGCCAGCAGGTTGAGGTGTGCGCTGCTCGTGGCCACAGCAGATGGGGCCAGGTGTGTCTGCAGAGCTCTCCACCTGGCCCCTGCAGGAGACTGGCCTCTGTAGTGCTCCTTGCTGTTTGCAGAGCCTGTGGCTGTGTGCCACAGGGCCATTTGTGGCCTCAGACCTCCAGCCATCCCCTCTGCAACATGAGATAAGTTCCCTTGAGCGCTTGTCATGGTTGAACAGGGGCCCGGGCACGAGAGGACTTCAGCAACTCCGTAGAGAGAGGCAGTGGGCACCCTGCCATTGGGGGACCTGGACCCTGGACGTTGAGCTGGGACCCTGTAGGGGAGGGCTGTTCCCCTGTATAGCCTGTGATTAGGGTCAGGGCTGAGTGTGACCAGGATTAGGGCTCAGTGTGTGATGGAGGGTCAGGACTCAGTGTGGGAGCAGGGTCAGAGCTCAGTCTGTCACTAGGGGCAGGGCTCAGTGTGTGACCAGGGTCATGGCTTAGAGTGTGACCAGGGTCAGGGCTCAGTGTGTGACCGGGGGCAGCGCTCAGTCTGTGATGAGGGTCAGGGCCCAGCCCTGGGCTGGGTGGAAGCACCCTCGGCTGCAGGCACAGAGGGATCTGAGGTACCCCTTTGGCCTCAGAGCCCTGCACCACCGCCCCCTGCTCCCCGCATTCTCAGAATAGCTCTGTGCTGTCCTCACTGTGTCCAGTGTCCCTGTTGCATGATGAGCAAGGTCCAGCAGCTGGTTCCTCACTGCTCCTAAAATAGCTGCTGGGAGCCGGTCGGGGTGGGTGCAGATCCGGCACGTGGACCCCGTGGGGTGGAGCCCTCCACCCCAGCATGCAAATATCCCCACGCCTGGCTGTGACCTTCTTCCTGGCAGCCCGGGGCTCCCCCGCTGGTGTGCAGGGCCTGGCTCCCTCCTGGGTGCCATCTGGGCAGGTGCCTGCCCTCCCCGCCCCGAGGCCTGCCCCGCCGAGACTCTGAAAGCCCGTTTGGGGTCTGGCTGTGCCCCTTGACTGGACTTGTCCCTGCAACCCTGGCTGGGAGGGCTGCCCAGAGCAGGGACCACGCAGGGGCTCACGTGTGGGCTGGTGGCGTCCTATCCCTGCCTGGGGATCCAGGATCTTTGCCTGGAAACTGCTGATGTGATCTGGGGTCCTGAGCACCCGGGAGGAGGGAGGCAGTGCTAGGAAGCTGGCTCCCGGCTGAGTAGCCACGACGGCAAGCAGGGTCGGTGGGGACACCCTCCCTGCTGCTGGGTGGGCCCGGGGACAGTTGCCCCAGGAACAGCAGGAAAGACCGTCCCACCCTCGGCAAGTCGCTGAGCCCGAAAGTCAGTGAGCCACTGGTGATTCCCGCTGGGCATAAGCCTTTCTGTCCGGTCAGGGTCCCCAGCCC